CAAAACAAAGTAAAATTTTAACCAAGTGACCTGTTTAAAGCCTTATATAACCGCCCGAGGGATATATAAACCCCACCTGCTTTTCCAGAGGGTAAAATGCAAGGATCAACGTGGAATTAAGCTTGGCAAAACCATTCCCTTATGCGTCTACCGTTCATAGAAAAGGTGTATGGAGTTTTCCCGCAACTGACAGGAAACTAGGAAGGTTGCATGGGAATTTTTGCAACAAAGGAGAAGCAACGGGGTAGCACACTCAGTTATTTAGGGAGAATATAACTCAACGCCTCTTCTTTGGAAACGACACCCTCAAGAATCCATGCACACTATTTGCCAACAGCTGACTTTTTGTAAGAAGTGCTGCGCTTTATGGCTGTCTTTGAAGTTGTGAAGTGGAATACAAGCTGGATTCAAATTAACGTCTTTCTGTGTAGATATTTTCATCGCACGTTTAATTTTTACAAGTAATCGACCTATTCAGGTAACGACCCTTATTTGAGCTCCATTGGTTTTGCTTAACCCAGACGGTTAGTTCTGAATCTTGCAACCCGGCACCATGAGTTTTGCCGAGCTCTTAGACCACGTCGGGGGGATGGGTCGCTTCCAAATCATCTATGCGATCTTACTGGCTATCCCAGTTTTCATGATGGACAGCCATAACCTCCTGCAGAACTTCACTGCTGCCACCTCTGAGCACCACTGCCAGGTCCATATCAACATCAACAACACTCCTTACACCAACCTCACCGAAAAGCTCGCTGCCAAAGACCTCCTCAGGGTCTCCATCCCCATGGACAGCAACCTGCAGCCAGAGAAGTGTCACCGCTTTGTCACCACGCAGTGGCAGCTCCTAGACTCCAACGCCACAGTCACAAACCTAACCGAGCTGGAGACTGAACCCTGCGCTGATGGGTGGGTGTACGACAAGAGCATTTTCACCAGCACCATCATTACAGAGGTACATGAGAGCAAGACCTGCTGCAGCGCGGGTAACCGACTGGGAAAAGGATACTGAAACCATGGGGTGGATGAGTTGAAAATATTTTTGTTGGAGTTATGCCTTTTCATAGATTTTTGCAAGTAAGTTTCACTGTCCTCTGCGCAGAGAGGGTCAGAGTATCTATCTATCAATCCTCCTGTTCCTAGTATCTGATCTTAAAATTTGCACCAACCTACAGCCCCTGCATGTCTATTGACATCGGCTTGGTTTCAGGCTCAGTCAGTGCGGAATTTCATTCTGCACAGGTGTAGAGGAAAGCAGGACACGGCCTTTACGCTTCACAGAGGCTTGATTCCTTCAGTGTATGAGTAGGAGGAAGCTGTGGTTGCACTGGTTGGGGTGGGAATTCCCCCGTCCATTTTGCAGTCAGTTTCCTCTCAATTAAATTGGACATAATCCACTAATCCGCATTAAAGGAACTGTGAATGATGCCAAGAGCTAACCCTGCTCTCCCCTAGATCTCAAAGGGCTTTACAATAGTGACTAAATCTTATTATCCCATCTCACAACTTGGGGACACTGAGGCACAGTGAGGCAGCATCACTTGCGCAAGGTCAGTGTCAGAGCTAGGAGTAGGGGTCCCAGTCTCTTGAACGCTCAGTCCATTCAAAACCATCCGCCTCACGTGGAATCATTATATTTGATCCTACATTAACATCGAAAGGACCCATTCTGGCACTGCACAGAGCCCAGCTCAGACTGGGGAACCCTTGTGCCGGATACTGCATGGACCCCAGCTCCAGTCAGGGCCCCATTGCACTTGGCACTGTACAGACCCCAACTGATTGCTGTAGGAACTGGCTGTCTAAATGCCATTAACGGTTCTGAAAATATCAGCCTAAGCCAGGAATCAAACCCAGATGTTCTGAGTCCCAGTTTGGGGCCTTAACCATAAGCCCAGCTTTGTTTTCTCTCTCCCTTACAGTGGGACCTGGTATGTG